TCCTCTTAGACAATGTGCACTGCACTGGCACAGAGAGCAGCCTGTCCTTGTGCACCCATGACAGCTGGTTCACTCACAACTGTAGCCATGACGAGGATGCTGGAGTCATCTGCTCTGGTGAGGGTCCTTTTGCATTCTAAATGACTCATGGGCAGAATGGCTTAACTACTCCTTGTGGGAGGGCTGGCATCTTCTCTCTCTCTACACTGTCAGGTCTTCAGTGAGGCAAGCTCCTCTCTTCCAAGGAAGACTGATTTCTACATCCCATTCTACTTTGACTTCCACCTATTTACTGTTTAATCTGCCTACTAGAAGTGGGATGCAAATGAACCAGTGGAATCAAGCTTTAAGCCATTTACAGAGACTGATTTGAATGGCCCATTGTTACCTGAAGTTTAGAAGGTGTTCCCAGCTGATACCAACCCTCCATAACAGATGGATTTAGAGCACAGCTCAGGAGGCTGAGCTCTCACATGTCAAGCTGTCCTACAGGCAGCCCCATGGTCCTGGTCTGAATGCCCCTCTTCTGGGCAGTCGCCCAGGTTAGGTCCTGGTATCCTTGGGAATGAGTCTTTGAGGAGAGTTCCAGGCTTAGGAGTGACATCACTGGCCAGGAGGCTAGGAATTAGCTCACTGTACTACCCAGTACCCCAAGAGAAGAATCTTTCCAAATGAGAACCCAGTCACCAGGTAGCTGCAGGCTTGACAGGACCTTCCTGTGGTGACTGAAGAACACAATTAGCAGCCCTTGATTTCAGGATATACTCTACTATCACTGTGCTCCTCAGTCCTCACAGACTCTTTGAGAGAAAACAGAGAAATTAAAAATTTTATACATATATGATTTCACAGCACCTCTGCCACTCAAAAATACCATGGGGCCGTTTGGTTTACTTCTTTTTAAATCCTAAAGTAGTGTTAGACTTAATTGTGCATTAGAAACCCCCTGTGACTGATTAAAACACGGATTTCTGAACCCTACCCTTGGGTGTTTTATTTGTTAGCTGTAGGGTAAGGTATGAGAATGCGCACTTCTGACAAATTTAGGATGCTTATGTACCTCTGGTCTGGGGATCACATTTTGAGAATCACTGTCTTAAAACATAACTCAATAGAATATTTCTTATCCTAATAAACAGAAGCAGAACCATCATCATCATCTTCATTACCATCTTCATCATCACCACCACCATCTTCATCTTCATCATCTTCATCATCATCATCATCATCACCACCATCACTCTCATCGTCTTCATCTTCATCACCACTGTCTTCATCGTCGCCTTCGTCAGCGTCATCATCATCATCATCATCCATCTCGTCTTTCTCTGCATTGGCCTTACCTGCACTGTCACCATCAACACCTAGTCTCTCCAGTAAATCACACCTTGTATTTGTGAATTACTTCCTTAGTTAGTTTATGTTTTTATGATTAAGTATCTACAGAGCTTAACATCCAAAGAAGACTATTTCAGCAAATCTCTAAAAAGTCTTCACACCTCTGGATATCTAGCCTTACGCAAATAGTTCTCCGTGGATGAACTAATTTCTCAGCTGTAGACGGGAGCCCAGGGTTGCCCTCGTGACCTCCTCTTCACCTGAAAGCCATTGTCTTGCCCCTTATCCTTCATCACCCCTTCCTTCCTGGATGACCACAGGTGTTTTACCTGGCTTCTGAGCCTATGTGCTCTCAACATCCAGAGTTACCTTTCATTAAAAATTAGTATTATTGGGACATAGTTTACATACAGTAAAAACCTACCAAGAACTTCAAAGAATTCTAATCATTGTGGTTGTGTAACCATCATCACCATCGAGATATAAAACATTGCCATTACCTTATAAAGTTTCCTTGCAGGTGTTTTACCTGGCTTCTGAGCCTATGTGCTCTCAACATCCAGAGTTACCTTTCATTAAAAATTAGTATTATTGGGACATAGTTTACATACAGTAAAAACCTACCAAGAACTTCAAAGAATTCTAATCATTGTGGTTGTGTAACCATCATCACCATCGAGATATAAAACATTGCCATTACCTTATAAAGTTTCCTTGTCCCTCTTTGTTCTTAAACTTCTCTCCCTACTCCCAAACCCCGACAACTGCTGATATGAGTTCTCTGTATAGGTTTGCTGTTCCCAGAATATCATATAATGCAATCAAGCAGCACAGAACATTTTAGGGGGGTACCAGCGATCTAACTCAGGTCCTTCTGCTTGTGAGGCAAGCGGCAGAAACTCTGAGCTAAATCTCCAGCCCTACAGAATATTTTTATTGGGACTCTTTACCTAGCATAGATTTATAAGAATCATCCTTGTAATTCTATGCATCAAATATTCCTTCTTTTATTTTTGAGTAGTATTTCACTACATGGACCTACCGAAATTTGTTCATCTTTTCACTACTAGGTGGACATTAATTTATTTCTAGCTTTCGTTTTGTTTTGTTTTATTTTTTGAGAATGGGTCTCACTATGTAGTTCGGGCTGGCCCTGAACTCACTATATAGCCCATATAGTACTAACTCCTTGAGGTTCTTTTTTTTTATTAGCATATATTAGTTATATAGAATGACGGGTTTCATTTTGGCATATTAGCACATGCATATAACATACTTTGTTGTTTCAAGCTATATTTCTCTAAAGACAAATGGAGTTGAGCATTTTTTATTTGCTTATTTTTATCTCTGGTGAAATGTCTATTCAAATCTTTTATGTTTTTTTTAAAAACTGAGTTGTCTGTTAATGTGTTGCAAGACATTTGTATATTATAGATACAAGTACTTTGTCAGATACTTGTTTCACAAACATTTCTTCTCAGTCTGTGGATTGTCTTTTCATTTTATCAACAGCGTTTTTTTTTGTTTTGTTTTGTTTTTTTGAGACAGGGTCTCACTACGTAGTTGAGACTGACCTGGAACTCACTATGTAGCCCAGGCTGGTCTTGAACTCACAGCGATCCACCTGCCTCAGCCTCCCGAGTGCTGGGATTAGAGGCGTGAGCCATCATGCCTGCTATCAACAGCATTTTTAAAAGGGCACATTTAAAATATTTAAGGAAGCCCAGTTTACTGACATTTTTATCTAAGAAAGACTTGCTTAACTAAAATTCTCTCCGATTGTTATTACCTGCATTCTTCCATATGCTTCATTTATTTATATGATCAAAAATTGATTTTTGTGTTTGGTATAATATTTAATTCAAAGGTCTTTTTTCATAAATGTCTAATCATTGCAACATCATTGAGAAGACCATGCTGTCTCTATTGAGATAGTTGAAACTTTTGCTAAAAATTATATATATATATATCTACAGATATATATTTTATTCTAGATTCCTCTTTTTGTTCTATGGATTTGTATGACCATCCTCATGTCCATAAAATTCAAAGGTCTTTTTTCATAAATGTCTAATCATTGCAACATCATTGAGAAGACTATGCTGTCTCTATTGAGATAGTTGAAACTTTTGCTAAAAATTATATATATCTACAGATATATTTTATTCTAGATTCCTCTTTTTGTTCTATGGATTTGTATGACCATCCTCATGTCCATATCACAGCTTTGATTACTATCATTTCTTTTTTATTTGTTTGTTTTTTGAGACAGGGTCTCACTGTGTAGTTGACGCTGACCTGGAACTCACTGTGCAGCCCAGGCTGGTCTCAAAATCACAGTGATCCTCCTGTCTCAGCCTCCTGAGTGCTGGGATTACAGGCGAGTGCCACCACACCCAGCTGGATTACTATAGTTTCAAAGGAGTGTTAAAGTCAGATGGTGTGAGTCTTCCAACTTTGTTCATATTTTCTTTTTTAAAAATTAATTTTATCGGTACACGTTAGAGATATAAATCACAGTGATCCTCCTGTCTCAGCCTCCTGAGTGCTGGGATTACAGGCGAGTGCCACCACGCCCAGCTGGATTACTATAGTTTCAAAGGAGTGTTAAAGTCAGATGGTGTGAGCCTTCCAACTTTGTTCATATTTTCTTTTTTAAAAATTAATTTTATCGGTACACGTTAGAGATATATAATGGTAACATTCATCCTAAGTACCTGTCCATAATATATCCTGATTTTTTCTTTTTCCTCCTACCCCCTCCTTAATCCCTTTCCCCCCTCACTTACAAAAGCTTGATTTCTATATTTTCTTCGCCCTTCCTTCCTTTTCTCCTCCCACCTCCCTTGTTCTCCTTTCCATTTGAATATTTTTCCCTTCTCAATATCTGTTACACATTTTGCTCCTTATTTACCCTTTCAGTTTCTCACACCAGAGTAACCTAGACTTTTTTCTCTTGACTCAAATTTTATTTTTCTAGCTTTACTGAAGTATGAATTAAAAATCATATATATTATAGGTGTGCAAAATATTGCTTTGATAAAAACAACCTTGTTTATCTCATCAGGATCCTGCAGTTTCCTGCATGTAGATTCTCCACATATTTATTGGACTTATCCACAAGAATTTTATGGGTTTGATGTATAATAAAGGGCACTTAATTTTTAAAAATTCAACAAATTGTTTCTTGTAAAGATGAAGTTTATATGTAATAAGTGATGGAATAAGAATTAGATCTCAGATTAAAACAATCATGTCTTTAGCCTGGAAACTCACTAAGGCCTTTAGTATTGGTTTCTCATGTTATTTTTTTAAAAGAGATGCTAGCCATTGGAATTGGAATTAGAGTGCCTGATAGCTTTCCCTTTACTTGACTTTCATTTATCTCTTTGGAGAGCTGTTTGTTAACTAACTGATGTTTTCTTTTCACTGTAGCTGTTGCAGTAACAATAGAATCCATCACTTCTGTGAAAGAGCAGAAACCAGCAGGTACATATGTGTACCTTTTTTCAATGTGCATCGAAACCTTATATCCTATGCATTGATTGAGGTTTACAGAACACATCATTTTTCTGGAACTATGAGCAAAATTAGACATTTAATAGCAAGTATTGCTAGAAACCCCCAGTCCCTGCCAGGATTCTTTAGATTGTGAAATAAAGATGTTTCTGAAAGTAAGATTCTAATAATGCTAGTTTAACAGCATACTTAGGCCAGTTGTACATTCACACAGGCATAGATCACACACATGTGGATTCTGTGGTCCTGTGACTTTAGAAAAATGCATTAAACACAGTAGACAAGTCTCTTTGCTACAGATATCTAGGAGTCTTTATGTACACCCAATCCTCAAAATGCTCACTAGAAATCTCAGGATGTCAGGCTTATGCGATACATTTGACCCAAATTCCCTTTTCTTCATGTGCCATCTCTTGGGAAGTCTTTTGCATAACATGAATACGAAAAGTATTGAAATCCAGATAGTTTGGACAAATGTGTCATAGCTACAAAAGTATTCCAGTCAAATTCAAATACATATTACCTCACGTCTCCGAGTGTCTGAAGTCATGGCCGCCACCCTCCAATTCCAGTTTCCTGAAAGAAGCTCTTCTTTTTATACCTACCCGTCCAAGTGTTTCCCTTGGAAGAAGGCACATCTTCTGCATTTTTACCCTTCTTGCTGACATCTCTCAAAATCCACAGTGACTTGATACTTGTTCCAGCTTCTCAGAGCCTAAGTTACAAGCCTTACCTGCAAGCATTCTTTATTTCCTTCTTTACAGTCAAGAAATGCTTTTGAATCAATGATGGCACACGACATTACTAACATAGAAATAGCTCTTATTCCCTCAGTTTTTCTTATGGATCTTATCTCCAAGTTTTTTTCTATTTTGTCTAGCTTACTGTATCTACTGAGCAAAGGATTCAGGAAAAGTTGACTACAAATTAAATGAATGATTAAAAAGTTAAAAACCATCTTGTTTGATGGTAATGATGGTGACCAATCTAGAATAATCAAAAGAAAACAGAGCATGTTCGAAGGGTACTGGGTCTTTGGATGTGCAGAGCGTTCACTTAACTTTTGTCACCCTGCCGACTGATTGTGACCCAGGTTTGTGTTTGTTATAGCTGACATCTTTGCAGAGCCATCACTGATAACAGTCCCTGAGCCCTGGACTGCTCCATCCACAGGTACAGAAGTAGGTCCTGACCTATCAAGGGCTGATGGACGGCAGTGAGAGAGGTACTTTCCAAGCTGGGGCAACTGAGTAGAAAACAATCCATGTGCCCGCTGGTAGACTTAGGGAAATTTTCTTAACCCTGTCAAGTCTCAGTTTCTTTATCTACAAAATGGGAGCCCACCCCTGCTATAAAGATTAAGGAAGAAATGTGAAAGTTAGTGGCCCTCGGGGTCTCTGGCATTTCACTCATAGACACAAACTGTTCCTGTCCTCAGCCTCCTTCATGTGGTAAAGCCATGAGAAAAGATTTTCATGATTCCAAAAGGACCAAGACACTCCAAGGCTATGCTGGATAACAGGATATCTATGTGGCTGTGATTTGCCTAGCACAGTCTAGCTTACTGTTTCATTGGCTATGTTGAAAAGGGAATCATATGTGCATAAAATGTTCTTATTTGGAGAACCCTAGGAGTTCTGAAGTTTCTAAAGGCTTTCATCATTTTGAGTGGAGGATTTAGCAAAGTCCATTTTCATTTGAAGTTGCAAATTACCCTGGCCATTCTGAACGTGTGAGTGCCTCAGAGCTGTGTGATCTTACATGTTTGTAAAATGAGAAGGTGCCCAACTAGGAATTTAAAAGAATAAAGGAAACCGTTCAGAGGCTGGAGGATCCGTCCTTAATATCCCTCCTCTTGGGTTGCCCCCCAGGACTCTGGATATAGGTGAGGCTGCTGAATGGCACAGGGAGATGTTCAGGCCACGTGGAGGTCCTTGTCCAGGGAACATGGGGGACAGCGTGTGATGACCTCTAGGACCTGGCCGAGGCCACTGTTGTGTGCTGCCAGCTGCAGTGTGGCCAGGCAGTGGCAGCCTCCTCAGGGGCTCACTCTGGAACAGGCTCCAGGAAAATCCTGCTGGATGGTGTGCAGTGTGTGGGCAGTGAGAGCCACCTGGGCCAGTGCATGCATGGGAGCCAGGCTGGACACAAGTGTAGGCACCTGGAGGATGCAGGAGTCATCTGTGCAGGTGAGGGGCCATCACCTTTTGGGTGTCACTGCTTTGTGCTCCCTGGCAACTTTGGTCCACGCTCACAACAGTCATTAGACAGTTATAGGACAGTTAAAATAAGCCCACCAACCTACTCAGTTGCTCTTTCAACACCCAAGTGCCGAAGATCCACCAAGCCCTAGTCCATCTGCAGGGTCTGAAGCTGTGTCCACAGGGTACTCACTCATAGGTGGGTCACCTGTGCTTGCTGTGTTTGCTTATAGCTCTGTTCACTGTGCAGAAGACACTTCCTCAATCTGGGGCAGACACCGTGAACCAATAATTCTCCTTAAAAAACTCTTATAAGGTCAAACCGATTTATGGACTTAAATAATGGGAGCAATTAGACAAGAGTCACATGCATTTTGTGCGCAAATAAAGGTAAACTATCTCCTGTAGACTGGCCTACCAGGAGCACCAGCAGCAGAAACAGCAGCAGTGGCCTGGCTTTCATGTCACGCACCTGAGAGGGGCTGAAGACGCAAGATGAGGGGAGGCAGGTGAATTCGCAGGAAGAGAAGAGGAGGATGGTTAAACAGCCGTAGGAAGTCAGGGCAGGTCTTCCCTTTGTGTGCTCCTGCCAGGATAGCTGTAACGTTGCTTGACAAAATGGCCAGGAAGGAGAGGCAAGGATGGCATTTGCAGTACATTCTCCCCTGCCCTGAGCCACAGCAGGTGTCCTTCAGCATGACTGATAGGCAAGGAAGTTCATGTTTTATGCATTAAGACCCATCCTGCAAATCACTGTGTGGCCCCCAGATTAAAAAGTGAACTTGTCTTCTACCTGCCCTACAGTGAACAGAACACTTTGACCAATTGCCTGGTGGTTAAGCTGAAGGCAGTCTCTGAGTGAGGAATCTTGAGAAATCTCTAGAGGAAAAACCGGCACAAAATCAAAGAAACTCCAATATTGGCTAGGCAGGCCTTTAAGAAATAACGAAACCAGATGAATAGTCTCTTCCATTGCTAGAGTTTTCCCTGCTGCTGTGGCTCTGAAGGGCCAGGGGTAAGTGAGTGGGGGGTGTTCATCTGGACATTTACCTGCGAAGGAGAAAAGGCTTGCTAGAAAGTGCTTGACTTTTCCTTTCAAGTAGTTCTTGTTTTCACGCTTTTCCTCTCCTCTGCGGATTTTGGGAGCCTCTGCCCATAAAGGACGTCTTGTTCCCTCTGCTCACAGGTGATGGACTGGCGGCAGCCCCCCACACACCGCAGTCTCCTCGCCTTCCTTTCACATCCACAGCGGCCGGTGAGTCCTGCCTGACACCTCTGTGGACTTGGAGAGCGAGGAAAGGGTGCTACCTCTCTGCCACAAGCCAAGAAGGTCACAAGCAGCACAATTCATAGCGGCAAAACCCCGCAGCAACCGTAGGAGAAGGGCTGGTTCTCCCAATTTTGGAGAGGAGCACTGTGTATAGAAATTTAGGAAGTCCAACTACCTCCATTTCCACAAGTCTGATGTCTGATTTCAAAAAAGATTTTTTATCTCTGCCTTTTTCCTGGAGCTGCTTTTACCTTTGTTTTCTAATTGACACATAATAATTTTAGGTATTTCTGAGATGTAGTACAGTCCTTTGACACATGCATGTTATGCAGTGATGTAGATCACCTCAAGAATTCATCATTTCTTTGTGGTGAGAACACTCAGAAGTCCCTCTTCCGTCTTTTCTGACTTTTATTTTCAGTATTGATTGAACTGTCTCTTAGCTATTTTGAAATACACTTCACATGATTGTTAACAATGGTGACCCCTACCATATAACAGAATTTATTCCTTCCATTTAATTATAAGTTTATGCCCACTGACTAATTTCTTCCCGTGACCCCTATTTTTCCTTCTTCCCAGTCTTTATTAACCCTCTTTTTTCCTCTTTTCCTGCCTTCTTTTGAGTAACTACTCTCTGTGGTTCCATTTTATTTCTTCTGCTGACTTCCTCTTTCTTTGATATTGAATAGTTGAGCTACGGCTTCTAATAGCATCTTCTGTACGTATGTGATGAAGTCAACCTTCAAATGGCACTATATCATGTCATGTGCAATGTAAGAACCTTACAATGGTACATTTTCAATCGCTCTCATCCTTTGTGCAATCATTGCAAAACATTGTAATTTACTTAATTATAGGCTCTACAATATTTTGTTACACTTTTAGAATTAAACATAAAAAAGTCATTGTACATATACACACATATATGCATATACACACATTTTTTGGGGGAAGTAATATACTATTAGACTCAGCTTTTTTCCATCTTTATATTTTACTGGTACATATTCACAGAACGTAATGATTACATTCCTTGTGGAAAGTCGGTGGCTGTGCATAACATATCTTACTTCTTTTTTCATGTCCTTCCCCTTTCTTCCCTCTCCCTCCATCTCTTGATCCTCTTCCCATTTACAAAATATCTGTCTCCTTATTTCCTGTTATCTATCTTTTATTTTGCTCTTTACATTTCTTATATAAGAGAAACCATGCAATATTTAAGCTTTGTGTCGGATTTATTCTAACACTTTAGCATGCCTGGTACACCTCGTTTTTCTGGATTGATCCAAGTTTCTGTCTTGTATTCCTTGGCCTGAAGAATTTACTTTTATATTTCTTACGATCCGATTAGCTGCCAATGAATTATATCAGCTTTCCTTTTTTCCGAAAACAAACACTTAATTCTTCTCCATCTTGGAAAGATGTGTCTGCTGGCTATAACATTTTGAGTTAAGAGGAGCAGAGCAGATACTTGTTTGAAGGGCAGGCTGACTTCCAAGAGGAAAAGGGGCAGAATTATGCAGTGGCTCTCATAAGCTAAAGTGAGGAAGGAATGGGAAAGTGCTAGCACTGCGTGGAAGGGACTGTCAGGAAGGGCAAAGTGTTATCCCTTAACAGTTTGTAATTTAGTGTAAATACTCTCCTTCTCCAATTTTCACACTGACAGGACACGTATCTTCAACCACATTTCCTTTCTCTGAAACTGCTGCCCTGAAACTGATGCTCAGGCCGGAAGGTGAGTCTCTACAGTAAGTTTCTTAGTGCTTGCTCTTGGAGCAGAGAAGAATAAGGGCCAACAAAGACAACTCCACCCCCACCCCCACAAGCACACATACCAGGGTCATCACTAGGGACTTCCACGTCATTGTGTCCTCCCTGGCTCTTCTCATCGAGGAAACACCATTGGCAAAGTGATGTTTTCTCCTCTCTATTTATGAATACATTGAATCAGGGAGCTCTAACGTAACCATTCTGCTTTGTCTGGAACTGATACATGGGGATGACTCCATTAGCCAGATATATTGAGAAAATGACATGAAGATAGTGACTTTTTAATGTGTTGATATATTGTGAATGCTAACTATCACAATTTGAAATATATCTAATTGTTTTTTAAAGTATTTTTTACTTATATTTTCTGCTTTTTTCTTCTACACACATTACGTTGTGCTTAATGCAAAATGCATCCCTACAAGGATGCCTAGTCTTTTTTAAATTTTCTCATTAGCACATAGCTTTTTATGACTATAATGACATTGAATATTTTGTACTTTCAATATAGAACGTATCTGTTAGGAAAAAGGAAAAGAAACAAATGTACAAGCTCGACAGGACAGATTTACTCCAGAACAAATCTGAGAGGGACCATTCTGGCACTAGAGACCAGACCAGCATTTCTCATACAGGCTGTGGGGTCTTTCGTAGGGTCATGAAGATGGAGAGGTTCAGTGAAAGGGGGTTGCGGCCACCTTCCAAGAACAAAGCTTGAGAGAGCACAAGAAGTAATGATTGCCAGGGGACAAGGCTTGGGAAAGCACAGGGAGCGGCTGCTATCAGTAGCAGGGCTGGTAGGTTCCCCAGGTGCAGCTGTGCTCGGAGGGGGCAGGTTAGAGGGCTCTCTGATCAGGATCGTGGCAGTCAGATTCCTTCAGTATTAACACCCATTATTCCTTCTAGTCTCCCTCCCCACAAGTCCTTTCTGTTAGGCAGGGAAAATGTTCTCCCCATTTAACAATGAAGATGTTATGATTGGAATCCATAAAAGTTGCCGTCAGTATGAGATCTCGGGCCAGACAGGCTCTCATTGAGACCCTTTGAGAATGGATCTCTAATTTACCTGACACCAAAAAGATTAAGGGCGAATATTTTTTTTTTTTTTTTTTGGTACTGGGGATCAAATTTGGACCTTGTGCTTGAGAGGCAGGCGGCAGCACCAGTGGGTTAAATCCCCAGCCCAAGAGTCCATAAGATAGCTTTTGGGCTGGGGATTTAGCTCAATGGTTCTCCCATCTGCTTTGCAAGTGCAAGGTCCTGAGTTCAATCCCCCGAACCAAAAAAAAAAAAAAAAAGAAAGAATAAGATCATTTTGTTTGTTTGTTTGTTTAATTCTTTTTGTACTATTAGAGTTAGCACTTTATCAACGTCAGATGTGTTTCCTTTGACTCTTTTTAACATTCATAGTCATATAATGATAAGTCTAAAATAAGCATTCATTAGAATAGTCTTTATATGTTACATATTTTCTATGTTTAAACGCACTAGACATAAGAATTGCAAGACAAGCATAGAACCAACTTTATCAGTTAATTAGAACCCATATTAGAAATCTGTATTCTCTAAGAGAGGTGTTAAGTCATGTTAATTCCTCTGCTAGTCGGCACCAGGATTCTCTAACAGAGGTTTATGTTACCCCAGATTTTCCCTGCTCACTTAGCTGCTAAGCTCCTGTTCACTGAGATGGGCACTGAAGACTATCTGTAAAATTTAGTTTGCTCAGTTCCAAGTGCTTAGAGCAATACACACAAATAGTTGTAGAGAGGTCTAATCAAGTTGTTTTAAGTGATCTTATCTCCTTGAGGACGTTAAATTTCTTCATGATCTTGGGCTCTAATTCTCCTCCTAATTATGCTATAAAACAACATATCTTAAGAATGAGAATTTTTCTCTTTGCCTGTTATACTCTTGTAGCCATCATATTTCAGTGCCTCTCCTTGTTAAATTCTATGTTTGTTCTGATTTCTGTTATAAAAGCTCTACCATCGGCCAGATTTTTTTCTCAGCTTTTCTCATTTCTACTGCTTTCCTGGCATTGTACTCATTCTGCCATTAGTGATAAAACTCTCTGGATATTTCTACTAGCTTCCAACTTACAGGGACTCTTATGATTCCAGTAATAAATAGCCCATTCTATGGGTGCTATTTGTTTGTTTATTTGTTTGTTTGTTTTTCAGTAGCAGGGGTTGAACTCAGGACCTTGAGCTTGTGAGGCAGGGGCGGTGCACTAAGCCAAATCCCCGGCCCTATGGGTGCTATTTGATTGACTAAACATTCTAATAGCAATGATGTGAAACATTAATTAATATCAGGTAGCTTACTAAGCAGTAGGCTTGATGACCTTATCTTCGTGTTAAAACCTTAATTTGATAAGCAGTTCTATTTAAACTATTAAACTGAGCTAGTTGGTGCTTCATTTGATTCTGACTGCGGCTCAAACAGACCAGGTGCCACAGCTGTTCTGCATCTTCGCTGGCCAGCAGAACACTTGCATGGCAAGTCAGGTGAAGCAACCTAGAGAGCTGAAGCGTCCCATCCAAGGATACAGCCCCAGAGTTCTAGCACTTTCCTTCCCACTGTGGATTGTGATATCCACAGCGGGATGAATATGGCAGAAAAGGAGATGGGGGAGCCAACCAAAAATTGGTGGGGCAAACTGAGCAGAAGTATATGCTTTTACTTAATCAGCCATTCTCTCTGGGCTGTTGTCTCCTTGGGCAGTGAGGAGGTGTGCAGCAGTGAACAAGGCCTCTCTTTATTTTGTACTCACAGATCAGGCATTCTTGGCACCTGTGTCTACCACAGAGCCTGCTGCACTTCCCCTGAACCTCACTCCAGCAAGTCAGTTGGCATTTGTTCTGTAGCGGGGGAGGTGGGGAAAAGGAGCCATGTACCCAGCACAGAGCTGGCATTTGCAAGACCTGAAGCCACACCAAGGAGTGCCAGCTAGATCCCTGTGGAGACTACTTGCCCCTAGAAGAACTGAATCAAGGATCGCATATTTGGCTGTAAACTTTGGGCTGACCCAAGCTGGGTTTATGGAAGTCTTAATAGGGAGACCTGAGGTTATCTTTGTGCTAGGGAATGGATTATCTGCAACCATAGCAATAACAGATCCTGTGACCCTGCGCCTGGCGGGTAAGTCTTTTGGGAAAGTGGGAGAAGGAACCATTATTTATGGAATCAAAATGTGCTCAGTAGAAAATCGGATACTTTCAAATAACTAATACTTCAATTTATGATCACAGAACCTACAAATAAAGGTACCTCTGCTTCACCCTTACTTTTTAACATATGGGTCACGGAAAAATTAATTTTCCTAGAATTAGTTGACTAGAAAGTGGTAAAGTCAAGGCTTAAACACATATATTTCTGATCTCAAACTTACGTGCTTCCACTTGATAAACTGCTTTTTGGGAAGACAGTACTAGATAGAGATAAACTTCTTGCAGACCTACTTTCTGTGTGCATCATGACCTTAATTAGGATATTGTAACCTTGATGTCTTCCTGATTGTTTTTGTGTGTTGTCTTTTTTTCTGGAAAATTATAGGACCTTTCATAGTTCCTTGTGTTTTGAGCTTCATGATATTTCACCTTCTTCTGAGTCTTTCATACATTATCTTGCTCACAGTTTAAGCTTTTAGTTTAGAAGTGTGTATCCTCCATTTAGTTCTTACATTTTATTGAGTTGCTTTATAATTCACTCCTTACTAGTTCTGTTTGTTCTTTTAAAAATTATTTAAGCAGCTGTTGGATTTTCTATGTTGATATGCTAAATTTTGTGAGTCGTCTTTAATTTTGCATCTTTAAAATCTTTTTCTCTTAAGTTCTCTTCAACATTATCTTCTAGGTGGATTTTTTTAAGTTTCAGCCATTTTATTTCTCAATTTTAAGAGCACTTCTTTGTTGTCTGACCTTTCCTTTTTCATGGCTGCCAGTTCTTGTTTCACAGATGTGGTACTTTCTCTTTCTTGGTATCTGTATTATTGCTTTCTATTCAAAATATTACTCGGCTCCTTTTGATGTTCCTGTTTCTCCTCTCTGCTTTTCTACCTGTTCTAATTATATTTCTTAAAATAGTGGCATTTCTCAGAGATCTGGGCATTTCTAGCTGTATGTCTGTATTTAAGAATGAGGCATTGAGGAGCTGATGGAAGTGAGGTGATATGTTTGGCTGCTGGTTTTCCAACAGCAGAGTGGGAAAATGCATGTAATACATGTGAGTGTCAGTCTAGTCTGAGATTTCCTGATGTCTGTAAAAACTCTCCTTTGTAGCATGATAGAGATTGCCCGGAATTGTGTGCTGGGTAAGTTAGAGCAGTTAGTATTCCTATTTTTGAAATGTGGGTTCACTGAAAAAATGCTATTAAAACCAGATTAGTGATACTCTTATTGTGAAGTAGATGAGTCTATAAAGCTGTTTAGATAATGTGTTTTGGATGTTATAGTTTTATATAATTTATCCATTTTGCAAATCATGTTTTAGCTCATGCTACCAATTATGGAATCTGATTCATTTCTCAGTTGCAAAATCAAGGGGCTGGGGATTTAGCTCAGTGGCATAGCACCTCCCTGGCAAGCATGAGGTCCTGAGTGGTCGGTCACTGGTACCAAAAACAAAAAACAAAACAAGAAAAACATTCAGTACCAAATCAAGTCTCATGTTCTTAAAGACAGTGTTTAACTGGTCAAAATTTAAATTTCTGTTACAGTGTTTGCATTCAAGTTCAAGAAGACTATGTAGAGGTATTTGACCTTGGGCAGATTACTTGAACTCCTTGAATCATTTTCTTCATTAGCAAAAAGATCAAAGACTTGTTGTGAAGGTCAATCAAGACCAAATCTTATAGGGCCAGGGATTCAGATCAGTGGTTCCAGCACCTACCTCGTGAGCACAAGGACCCGAGTTCGATCCCCAGTACCAAAAAAAAAAAAAAAAAAAAAAAAAAAAC